TTAAGGAAAAGAAGCACTGGACAGTTTGCACAGGTGGTCCAAAGGTCCTCTTTTCAGACGAAAGTCAAGGTTTTGTATTTCATTTGGAAGTCAGGCTGCCAGAGGTCTGGAGAAAGGGCTGAGAGAGGAGCAAATCCAAGTTGCTTGAAATCCAGTGCTGAAGTTCCCATCAGCGATGGTGGGGATGCCTATGATATGCTGCTGTGGTGTTGTCCACTGTTTTCATCGTCCCAGATTTTTTGGTAAAAATGGCAGCTGTGTACCAAGAGATTTTAGAGCACTACATGCTTCGCGTTGCTGAAGAGCTCTTATGGAGATGAGGAATTCATTTTCCAGGCATGATCTTCGGCACCTGCCCACAGTGCCAAAACCACCAGTAACTGGTGTACTGACCATGGCATTCCTGTCCTCTGATTGGCCTGCAAATTCCCCTGACCTGAACCCCACTAAGAATATGTGGGTATTGTGAAGAAAGAAGCTGAAAGGCACACCAGAACCCAACAATGCTAAGAGCGTAAAGGGCCGCTACTTGAATTGCATCCTGGGCCATCCTAACCGACCTCAGCAATTGCCACAGCGCTGATTGCCTCCATGCCACGACCGCATTGATGCAGTAATCCGTGCAAAAGATTCCCAACCAATACTGAGTGCACTTAATGGACATTTTCAAATTGTTTGATTGTGTTTGCCTGTTATAAATCTTTTTTTTTACTTGGTCTGAAGGAACTATTCTAATTTTTGAGATAGGATTTTTGAGTTTTTCTTAACGCTGTATGCCATAATCAGCAATATTAAAATAATTAAAAGCTTGCAATATTTCAGTTGATTTGTAATGAATCCAGAATGTATGACATTTTTGTTTTTTTAATTGCATTACAGAAAATAAAGAACTTTATCACAATATTCTAATTTTCTGAGACAGTCCTGTATGTAGTAACGGAGCTTTACCATCTCAGTTTCTGGGAAGACCTCGAACACGCTCAGCTGTTTCCGTGTTTCCCTCATGTACCTCTCCTTCTCCGGACACATGTCGGGACACGTCCCCACAAACACCTTGGAGAGGACCAGGTCCGTCCTCCGAGGTCGACCTGCGAGGACACATTGAGCACACAGTTAGAATGCCTCTTCGGTTTTTGAAGTCACGTTAAAGACTGCGACAGATTGCCGAGTGGCGGCTTCACCTTGGCGCAGGATCTTGTCTCGCTGCTCCAGCAGGCGGAACTTGTCCTCAGCGGTGGGAGCCAGCTGTCCCATGAGGTGGAGGAGGGAGGAGGGGACGGGGCGCTCAGACCCCGGGGCCTCTGAGCTGCTCTCTTTCTGCGGCTCAGTGTCAAACTGCAGAGCTTTGGCTAATGACGACTTCTTCACAGGAGAACTGACAGAGGAGGAGACACCGGGCAGTCAGTCACAGCATCACAGAAACATTCTTTCTAACTATACTCGCTTGTGTCCATTGCTCCACACTTGTTAGGATTAACTCAAGTTAAAACTAAACAGTACAATGATGACTAGGGCTCTACTGGAAGTTGTTGTTTTTTTTATTGTAGCTTTTATCGAGGTTTTCAAAAAAAATAAAGATTTGGATATCTGGTGTCACATTTGATATCGTCATCACCTTATAATAAATCTTAAAAACAAAACGGATTGAATTAAATGAGTGTGTGAGCCATGAGTTTTTAGCACACAGTGAATAGTGAATATGTCGTTTATGAAAAAGTAAGGGCCAACAAATATAAATTAGAAACAAGATATTCTATCAGATAAAAACACATTGTGAAATCTCTTTCTTCAACACGTTTTGATGTTTGGACTTAAAAACTGTAAGATATTATGACACTAACAATATTAGTTTAGTGTTAACTTTATCTTAAAAGTATTTGTGCGCTAGCCCAATGAATACAAATGCATTGAAAATACTCAAATGTTGGTATAGAATGTAAATGCCAACATTATGAATGTTTGTTCTGAACAGTACTGGTAAGACTAACACTGTGAAGCCGGTGTGAGTGTATCAGTGTACCTGCGGCTGAAGGACATGAGGCTGCTGAGTGCAGGACCTCTGTGAGCACCCTTCCTGAGGGGGGAGGAAACATCTTTGGACTCCATGTCCTCCTGACTCCCCCCCTCTGCCTCCCCTCTCTCTGCTGTAGCTCTGCTCCCTTTGTCCCCTGGACCTGAGGCACAGAAAACAACATGAGAAAATCCTGCATTTTATAAGAGCTTTGAAACAGACATTTTAAAAACAATTAAAGGTCTTATTTTAAGATAAATGAATTCAATGCCTTTTAAGGATATGCAGGACACGTGTAGAAGAAAAGAAGAAGATACCTGCTCAAAAGTCTTTACATAAGTTCTTAAATTCCCTTTTGCTTGTAGGTCCGTACCGATAGACTGTCATATCTACACAGCGGAACTGGGCATGCTAGGTGCTAGCAAGTATATCCATATGAATGATATGCCAACTGTAGAATAGTGAACGTACTCTGCTTCTTTCTCTGCCACAAGAGGAGGAGTTCATGTCTGTGCAGGAGTTTGCCTTTCTTCTTTGCCTTTGCTGCTGATGCCTGAAAGATAGTGAACAGTGACGGTAAGCCAAACATTTTTGTGATTTTAATGATTCAAACAATAATAAATAAATAAATATGTTTAACATGATCTAGTAATGAAAAATAAGATCGGAGGCTGAAGGAGACTGCAGTCTCCCAGGAAGTGGAGGTTGGTCAGAAGGTCAATGTTTACAAAAAAAGAGCAGATTAGACACTCAAAAATAGACACCAAAAAATAACCAGTACCATGTTCAATTACTCACGTTTATTTGACACAAATGTCATCAAAATGGGTTCAGATATACTGTTCTGAAACTCTGTATTTGTTTACAAGCAGATCTTGAATGCTCTATTGAGGAGGAAGTGTAGAGGCTAATGATGTATCATTGTTTCTTTATCTATGATTTCAGCAGAAGAACAAGTCCGCTACCAGACAGCAGCCTTTTTAAACTACATGTTCACATTTGGAGGCTACTGTATAGTATCGATAGTTGGTAAATGTATTATATTTATTTAGAAAAACCCAAATATTAGAGTTTCCAACCAGCATATATTTTTGTGAAAGGAGTCTCAAATCCCAACACGCAAATGTAACCTGATCAAACTCAATTTACAACCTGTAGATGAATACCAAAGGAAGGTTTTAAAATAACCGAAACTGATGTCATCTGTTGAGTTCAAAGTAAAAAAAGTTCATATTTGTTCATGCATTTGGCTAATTTGATTTAATAACTTAAATTTCGTAGTAACATAGCCAACTCACATGATCATCAAAGTGAACGATGGCCAGATTCTTGCCGGGTCGGCAGTAAACCTTCCGGACTTTCCCGAAACGACCAAAGTGCTTCTCGATCACTTCCTTCTTGTTGAGGGCAGGAGGAATGTTCCTGCACTGCAGGACGGTGCAGTCGGTGGGGGACATGCCCCCCAGGCTCTCTGTGCTATCCCTGCGGGAGCCGCGTCTCACAGGGGTGGTGACGCCACTGGGGGCCGAGTCTGGGGCTTTGGGTGAGTCTAGAGAGGGTTGATGGGTAAAAGGCAGACGACAAGATGAGTACATTCTGAAGAGGAAATCACTCAAATTCATTTATGATATTTAGTTAATCTGCAGGATGTCTATCGGTGTCCCTGTGCTTCATGAAAACTAAACAATATTGTGACGGTCATAACATCAGTAGAAGGAAACAAAATGGATCTATGCAAATGTAATATTGGTACCCCTCAAAACTCCTCATCAAAAATGTAAAACATTTTTAAAAAGGGCCCTATTCTGTTCATTTTCCAGTTCATGTTTGTGTTTTGTTTCTCTGGGACATGTCTCCATGCTTTAATGTTCAGAAAGCTCTTTATTGTTCTCATACTGCCTGTGCTGCAGCACCTCTTTTCACCCTTTGTCTGAAACCAGAGACCGGGCTGCTCTGATTGGTTATCTGGCCAGCTCTGTTGTGATTGACCAACCGCTTAGAGATGTCCCGCCCCTTAGCACTTATGTGTTAGAGCACTAGCCAACGGAGATGCGAGTGTAACATAGTGATGTCACTGTCTTTAATATATTTTTCAACAATAATGTAAATAATGTTTCAATAATTAGCATTCTTAGAATTCATAGAATCATATCGCAACTACAAACATCTGTCAAAAATAATTGTAATCAGTAATTGTTTTCAGATCAGAATGCAGGTAATGCAGTAGTTATGATGTGTGCCTCGCTCTTACCTGACTCCTCAGCTGTTTCCAGCTCATCTCTGGCTGGTGCTTGCACTGCGGGGGGGGGTGAGGCAGCACGTTCGTCAGCCAGAGCTTGGACGCTCTCTGTCTCCTTTGTGGCCTCTCGCATCACAGGGTGGGTAGTATCTTTACGAAGACAGTTTAGTGCCCTCCCAAATAAGCCAACTGGTGGGCCGCGGGACCTCATGAGGGGCCTCTTTGAAGGCTGCCTCGGTGAATCTCTTCCATGGACATCCTCCTCCCCCTCCTCTCCTGTTGCAGGCTTCTCTGGACCGGTGCTGGGGGCCGTTAGATCTTCCTTTCGTTTGGTGCCTTTGCCAAGTCGTGCAAACACATTTGTTTCTCCTAAATTGCTCCCCTTTTCCTCTGCCTCAGCTCTGGTGTCACTATAAGCGGGGGGCTGACCAAAATTGGTCCCTCCAAAAAGTGGTGCGGCCTGGGGAAGGAGGGATGTGGCTGAAAAGCTGAAAGTGGATGGGGTGGTGGGCTCTGTGGTAGTGCTGGAGCTGGAGGGCGCGGCTGGCTGGGAGAAGGTGAACTTCAGCGGGTTGGAAGGAGCGTTGCTAGTGTCAGTTGTTAGAGGATTGTTTTGAGTAGTGATGGAGGGGGCTGCAGCCGGCTGTGAGAAGCTAAATCCCGGCAGCCCAGGCTGGGCTCCAGTCGTCGTAGAGAAGACAGAGGCGGGGGTGCTGCTCCCCATGGAGCTGGAGGTTGTCTGGGACACAGTGCTGCCAAAAGGTGAGCTGGTCATAGCAGTTGTTTGAGGGTTAGCAGGCTCGGGGCTGGAACTGAAGATGGGTTTGAAAAGTGCCTCATTGGCTGGCTTGAATGTGGATTTGGATGATCCAAAGCCTCGGCTCTGGGTCACACTCGGAGTGGTGCCGAATCCACTGGTGGTGACACTTGTGGATGAAGGTTGTCCAAACACAGACTGTCCAAAACCCGGGGGCTGAGGTTGTCCTATGGTAGTGGTGGAGCCAGACATCTGGGAGTTTCCAAACGCAGAGGGCTGTTGGCTAAATCCTGGAGCCTGCCCAAAAGCAGACGCCTGTCCAAAAGAAGATGTCTGTCCGAAGACTGAATTAGGGTTCTGTGCGGCAGTCTGTCCAAATGCTGAACTCTGGTTCTGTGTGGCGGCCTGTCCAAAAGGTGAACTCTGGTTCTGTGTGGCGGCCTGTCCAAAAGGTGAACTCTGGTTCTGTGTGGCGGTCTGTCCAAATGCTGAAGTCTGGTTCTGTGCGGCAGTCTGTCCAAATGCTGAACTCTGGTTCTGTGCAGCAGTCTGTCCAAAAGGTGAACTCTGGTTCTGTGCAGCAGTCTGTCCAAAAGGTGAACTCTGGTTCTGTGCGGCAGTCTGTCCAAAAGCTGGTGCGGTGCCACTACCAAAGCCAGAGCTGCTCATTCCTAACGCTTGCTGTCCGAATGCTGGAGCCTGGCTGATTGTTGGCTGCGAGGGAGGCTGTGTTGATGTCTGTCCAAAGGCAGGGGTCTGTCCAAAGATGGCATTTCCTTGAGACGGGGGCTGATTTAAGGCAGAAGGTTGTCCAAACGCTGTTGGTTGGAAAAAGCCCATAGGTTGGGGCTGATTGCTAGAACTCTGCTGTCCAAATGATGGGAATAAACCAGCCTTCATTGTGTTACTTGGGGCCTGGAAAGCTCCACCTTGTGGACTTCCAAACGGATTGGATGGATTCATGGCGCAAGTATTAGCGGATGTTTACTATCCTTGATTATTGTTCAACGCTATGTTTCTCATACAGGCTTTCGACCTATAACACCATCCTCGTCTGTCAAGCGCTTCCGTGTAACAACCTGACGCGTAAAAGTCAAAAGAACACGTTCAAGGCAGGAACAGATAACAACACATGACACAGTCGCTAGCATAAGCTAACCCTCCAAACATTGTTTAATTTAGCTTAGCTTGTTCCGTCGCCATTAATGTTTTTATATCAACTCAACAACACAACCCATAGGATATAATGCAAAAGTTGGCATATTTCAAGAGAAACAAAACTCACCGCTCAGAGTTTGTGTTTGCTATGTTGACTTTTGGTTCAGTTCGGTTCAAACCTAAACTCACGTTGCTACATCCGGTTCCGGTCCGACACATATTTAGGTCCCCCGGAAAACATTGCGAGCGTTTTACTGCTCTAACCGGCTGTGAACGGTCAAAGGACCACTTTCATTAACGAAATAACTGTTTCAATGTATTGACAGTATTACCTTATTCCATTGTCCAGAAGAAGCTTATATAATATTTCTGGGGACCTAATTTGTTGCTATCGTTACTCACGGGACGTGTCACCTTGCTCTCTGTTGACCGGAATGGCTGAACATCGCTCGTGGCTAACGCAAAGCTGACCAACCGTTCTCATAAGCCCACCGTATTATAATTATTGTAACTGTCCGTCGGCGGAAGGGAGTTGGTTTTACCGTTGACACATGTGTCAGGGATTTCTAAATAATATTTTTTTCTTTAGATCTTTTTACGCCGAATTCTAAAATGGGAGTAATACTGCGGAACCTCCAAAAGCAGGTCCCCCTCCGCCGAGCCCGGCTGCGGAAGGATGTGGAGACGCTGCGGCACATCCTGGGCATCCAGAAGTTTGACTTGGGCATTGTCTGCGTGGATAACCACAGGATCCAGCAAATTAATAACATATACAGAAAGAAAAATGTGCCAACAGATGTCCTCTCATTTCCATTCTACGAGGTAAATACAACTACATGTTAATAGATAGATAGATACACATTTATAAATGTGATTCTACATGCCATATTCCACTACCATCTCCTCTTTTTTAAATATATTTTCGTATATATAGATAACAAATGGTCTATGTCCTGTATTATTACAACTATTAACATTTTATTGTATTTATCATTGAATTCTCTTTAGTTTTTTCTTATTTTCTGTAAATATGAGATGTCTTAGATAAGGATAAGGGCAATCAAAAACAAAACAACTGATTTATCAGAACAAACAGAAACAAAATGCATGTGTGCACCAATACCTGTGTGTACCTATACCTGTGTGTATTTGTGATATACATATGCATTGGGATATATATTTTTGAAATCCTCTGGAGCAGAGAGAGGAGCTGTGGATTATTGTAATTGACAAAGTGTTTCTTAGGGTCCAAAACATTAAACTTACAACTTGAAATAAAAATGTTTAGTTTATTTAACAAAAGAGAACATGTTCAATGTGAAAAGTGACAGTAGATATAGATTAGCTGCAATTTGGTGCTATATATTAATTTAAAAAATAATAATAATAATTTAAAAAGAAATAGAATTTATTTTTATTTTAAAACACCTTAAATCTCAGGGGGGGGGGGTGCGCGGGGAGCCGAATTTGAATATTTCCTTAATCGTGTGTCCATCGGGTGTCTCCGTTGGCGGGGCGCAGCGCCCCTCCAAGACAATCGTAGGGGAAACACTGGGTTCATCTTAATATGAATCCTCTTCCGTAGTCTTGTGTTATACCTTTATTATTACTTTGTTTGTTTTAGTTTGTCTAGAGTTAAATATGAAATTGTAACAAAACTATTTACTTTGTTAACTAATTTCAGTGTCTAATTTATTCTATTTACAAATCTTAATAGTCTCTCTTCTGTCAAATGTCTTGCCAATAAAACCTATTCCGTTTAATTGAAAAATGCTGTTAAGCTTCATTTGTTTTATTATATAAGATAATATCATTCCTCTGCTAGTTTCTTATGGACTTCTTGACACAATCCCAATTGAAATGTGACTTTGACCCGTGTTTAGGACCTGAGGCCTGGTAAGATGCCCCTCCCCCTTCACAGGGACGAGCAGAACCTCGGGGACATTTTCCTGGGGGTGGAGTATGTGATGAAGCAGTGTCAGGAGGAATCTCTGGATCTGCATGGGACCCTCACTGTGAGTACTTCTCTGTACGCCGGCCAGATCAAATTCAGTTACGGCAAGTTTTTAGAAATGCAGGCTGATTATTTCACACACTATGACTTCACAACCCTGCTTGCAGTGACTTTGTCTGACTATAGCTCACATTGCTCCTCTTTTGGTCGTGTTTCAGGCTGTCACGGCACATGGGATCTGTCACCTGTTAGGGTACAGACACGAGACAGAAGAAGAATGGACAGAGGTGAGTGTGGGGATCACATGGGGAAAGGATTTTGATGTGAACACATTTAAAGAGTCACTTTATCAAAATACAGAGTAACATTTTCTGTCTTAACTCCTGAGTTGTGTAGGAAAGTTTATGTTTTTACATCCAAATAATTGTCCTATATTTCTGCCTCCACTAACAATACAATTGAGGCGTTTCGTATGTCTTTTTTACTCGCCTCTGGGATTTTTTAATCTAAGATATTTGTCCAAAATGTCTTTCCATAGTACTCTCCTCATTACTCTTGATAATCTAAAGAATGGGACATTTTCTTTGGTAATACAAGTAGTTCCAGAAAGGTTTTGGGATTGCGAATTGGCTGTTGTATTATTCAATTGTAATTTCTTAAGCTGAGACATTTTTTGGTTGAAACCTTAAAGATAGGCATTTCAAAACAAACAATAAAGATACATCTCTGATATACTGCACACAGTATTTTTCATATTTTTATTGTACATGATTTTTATATATTTTAATTCAAAATATGTTTTTAATACAAAGAAAAAGGTTTTGATAATCTTTTTGTACTTAATTCCTATTACTGTGTTTGTGCACAATAGTACACCACAGCCAATTCCTTGTATGTGCAAACCTACTTGGCAATAAACCTGATTAGCAAGAGATCTGAGTGAACTGACCCTTTGCACGTAAAAGGGCACAAACAAGATACTATACATTTTTTTCCAGCATTTTTCCACTATCCATCTCTAAAATGCATTTGGTTTAATCCGATAAATCTGAACACATTTAGTATGTTGGAACACATTTTTCTGTGCTGGCTCACACAAATCTGTAAGAATGTTTAGAATAAGTTAAGCTGTTGTTGAATATTGAGTTTTCTTAAACTACACTGAACAAAAATATAAACGCAACACTTTTGTTTTTGCTCCCATTTTTCATGAGATGAACTCAAAGATCTAAAACATTTTCTATTTACACAAAATAACAATTTCTCTCAAATATTGTTCACAAATCTGAAAAAATCTGTGATAGTGAGCACTTCTCCTTTGCCGAGATAATCCATCCCACCTCACAGGTGTGGCATATCAAGAGGCTGAGGGTAAAGCAGACATCAGAGGTGTGCTTTAGGGCTGGCACCAATATTTAAAAAGCCAACTCTGAAACTGGCATTTTTTTTTGCGCTTTATTTTGGGGGGGTTTCTGGGGGGGTCCGAAAAACCCACGTCGGTATCTGGTGTGGGGTTTTAGGCTTTAGGGTTTAGGGTTATGTTGTGGAATGAGGTGGCCCTTGTTCGTCGTTCCTAACATGCCTGCCCTTCAAACCCCCCACCCCACCCCCACCATGGCCACTACACGTTCTTTTCAAAGATTGTGGGGAAACAATATTTTAAGAGAATGGTTATTGTTACTGTAGAATGTTTTTAGCTTCTTTGAGTTACTTCTCCATGGAAAATGGGAGCAAAACACAAAAATGTTGCGGGTTTTTATATTTTTGTCAGTGTTATATATTAAATAGTATATATGGTCTTAATTCTTTCTGTAAGAAGGCCAGGCAAACTATTCCTCTGTGGGAGGATAATATGTGTTGAAAAGCGACATAATTAGGTATTTGATTCTCTTTTACAACTGGACTCAAAACAAAATAGGAAGTCAATAGATGTCGAATAGGATGCGGAACTCATAGGAGGGGACGATGTGTTCAGACGGAGGTTTGGTGTGTTTACCCTTGTATCACTCACTATTATTTTCCCACCCCCCGCCCCCCCCGCCCCCCCCGCCCCCCCCCCCCCCCCCCCCCCCCCCCCCCCCCCCCCCCCCCCCCCCCCCCCCCCCCCCCCTCATCATTTAATATATCCTCAGCAAGTCCAAGACTACATGCATCAATCTCAATAATCAAGTAGCTAACTAAACAAGCCATGCCAGACATTCGTTCTCCTCATTTCCCCATTGTGGCTATATTACATAATGTCATTCCAAATATTAAACTGACTATTTAAATGTGATTAGTATTGTCTAACTGAACATCACCTTTACATTCATGCTTCAGGCAGCACGACAGACTGGTCAAGGGATGAGCGAGCAAACCTTCTACCGCTATTAATCAGCGTTTTCAAGAGTTACTCTAAAAGATTACAATAGAAAAATACCATTATTGGTCATGTTCGAAAATGCAATATGGCAGGTTATTTAAAGCCCTTGGGGAAGGGAGGAGTGGCATTATATTTCAATGATTGTACGAGTAGACTGGACAAGCGCCTTGGTTTCTAAGGTAAACTATTCCCTTTAAGTTTGAATATATTTATTACCTTCCCGGGATGAATCACTGAATAATGGGAATAATTGTGCACTGGACAGAATTATGATGACACAGAAAGCTAACTGGTTATGAACTAAGCTTGCTCCTCGAGAATACCTATCAATTTGTCAAATCACTAACATCTACGTGTCAGCATTGAAATCTTAACAGGGCCCCTGACCTTCGGTCAATCATTGTGTCCATTATAAAACGTTCTCCCCTCCATCCGTACCACAGTGCATGGTCAGACTCTGATGGGAGTTCAGTGCTGCTGTTGCCACATTAAATTAAGTCGGTACCGATTTTGCCTCCTGCTTGAGACTTACTCTTGGGAGTTTGTTGACAAGTTCAGCAGCTCTAAGGTGACCAGTGACAGCTGTAACTCCAGCTAATGTATTCCAGGATGTTAAACAGGAGAGAGTTATAATACCAGTTTAATAAATTGCTGATGCCTGCATCTCCGAGCAACCAGTGACTACAAAGTGGAAAATGCACGTTTTTGATCAATCACAACACACCCGCATATTTAAACATGATATCTTTTATGTATAGACAAGTACTTCCTCGGATTTTTTTTCTTTTTTAAAAATGTGGTGTGAACCAATAACAAAAGATGCATTGGGGTCGTGATGAGAACATCCTCTTACTATACAAAGAAAAAATGTACCTGTGGGGTAATGGAAAATGTAGGCTTTAACAAGAAAAACAACAATTTGTGTGAATAAAAACAACCAACAACCCCACCCCACACACTCCCCTCCCGATCAAGGGCTTAAACTGAGTTTATTCCAAATATCCAAGACATGTATCCAGACATTCATAAAACTTAATGTCACAGTAATACACATCTTTTTATCCATCAAAGATGTGACCTGAACTGAATGAATACCAAACAGTATGCTTGATTGACTGTCTGTGGTCACATCTATAAGAACTTAGAAGTAACCAAATACGTTATGGCAAAGTGTTAAGGTGGAAAGATTTTTGAAGTTTCATGAACTCGTTGTTGATTTTGTTGAATGTTGTACTCATTTTCGGTCTGCTTACCAAATCCGTGTATGGTAGTTCTTTGTGAACTTTAGGTTGCTATGCAAAATAATATTTAACGTTTTACTGTAACAGTGCACCCATATTAAGAAGAAACCATGTAGAAAGGGATTATAAACATGGTATCATTTGTGATTTTGTCCACTGTTTGAA